CCCTATACAGCAGTGTTTCTCAACCTTGACAACTTTAAGGTGTGTGGACTTCAACTCCCAGAATTCCCCAGCCAGTACCCTTTTATCTGTTCACTGTCTTAAGTGCACTACATTCTTGGCTATTCTGTAGAGCACACGCTTGACATATACAAGGTTTCAGGTTATCTGGGCATTGTAAAACAGAAGATGTATGTCATAGACATGCAATTATTCCACCACATCATTTCTACCCTACATATATTATGAATGAACTTTACATACAAGATTACTATCCTCCAATTGTCTTTGTCAAAAGGCTTTGTATGTTGTCTCCAAGTTGCCCCTTCCCTAGATTTTGATGCTGCCCATAGGATTTTCAGTATCCCATGCTAGTATACTTCAGGCCACTGTTTTTGTATATAATAACATAGGTCACATGCTTCCAAGTCTGGTAGTGTTTGTTTTCTTTCTACAGCGATTAAAATGAATGTGTAATATATAAACAATAATCTTTTTACTAAAATGCTCTTGAAACCTGAAATGATTCTATTCTTTACTCACCTTATATCTAATCCCAGAAGCCTGGCTGTTGTGCATGTTTTATTGCAATTGTTCAAACAGGTACATGAACCTCCTGTCTTGCTGTGCATTAATTATAGTGGTTTACAATCACGTTTTGCCCTACCCCACTCTTGTGAAAAAACTTACTTGAATGAATTTGAAAGCCAGTGCTGAACCTGGGCTTGGGAAAAGGGGAAATTTTTCTGAACTTCTTTACTTTTTCCTTTTCAGAAGCACAGTGTAAACCGTACTACTCTGATTATTCTCGCTTCCGACTTCTGATTCACCAAATGTGCACCACCCATTATCTGGATTTATTCATCACAGGTGTGATTGGGCTCAATGTCATCACCATGGCCATGGAGCATTACCAGCAGCCCGAGGTAGGATAGAAAAGTGTTGGTCAATAGTGGATATTATCATCTTTCCCAGAAGGAATTAGAATTCCTGCATCTCTGTTAACTGAAATAGAACAGTTGGAGCAGGAAAAGAAATTTACTACCACACTAAGTGGCATGTTGATAGATCTTCACTTTTTTCACTTGGGGTGGCATTGGGGATCCAGTCCTGGGGTCAGATTCAGTTCCTTAGTTCTGACTGAACCTGTTACAAACACACACATGGACATTCTTATTTAAGTAAATACATTGGATCTCAGCCAAATATGATTGATTTGAATATTTTTTAACATACTCTTTCACAAAGCCCATATTTCTTTAGATAGATAGATAGATAGATAGATAGATAGATAGATAGATAGATAGATAGATAGATATAAAATCAAAATATCTGCACTTTTAAATGTACTTTGGTATTTTTTTCCAAAGAGTTGTATTATACAGTATTTGCAGATGACATCAATTCATAGCAGAATTCATGAAGTTCAAATAACTTGCATTCCTATGGGCTCAGGGGCATGGTTTCCAACATATGTTCATTTGGGTTGCGGACATGCAATATGTTTCATATATTACAGCCTAAATGAAAGAATGAGTTACAATACCTACAAGGTTGCTTTGCATGAAAGACTTTCATTATGTATAAAATAATCCTGAAAGTTGAAAATTCTGTGTAGTTTCTTTCAATCCCAAAGCTTTTCATTACTGAGAGACTTCTTTCCATGAATTCACATTTTCAGATACATTGTCTACATAATCTGTTATATAAATAAATAAATAAATAAATAAATAAATAAATAAATAAATAAATAACCAACCTGAAAGATTAAATAGAGGATCCACTCTGGTAATGGACCTTCCTGGGTCTACATCTTAAACCTCCTTGATGGATAATCTCAGTGGGAAATTCTTTCTAAAGATCTCCTTTTGTAAATCTTACAGGAGTTGGAAGATGCCATTTAGGCCCCTGAGTCCACCCTCAGGAATCCCAGTTAAGCATCCAACCAGATGGCTGTCTAGCCTCTGCTTATACAGCTCCAGTGAAGCGGAGTCTTCTCTGTACAAGTGGCTCCATTATTGAATTACAGAATTTGTCCCTTTAGTTTTAACTGCTACTAAGGTAGAAGTGGTCAAGATGCCAACCTTAGTGCTTGAGAAAAATGTTTCCCAAGGAAGAGCTAAAGGGGGTGACTTTTTACTCATTCAGAATGCTGTTTCTGCCATTTGTCTTAGACTCAAATTACCCACCAATTTTCTGGTTCTTAACCTCATAATACCTGGTAGCTTTAGTGCTCTGTGGTTGAATACTGTATGTTTGTTTTGCCTGGTTTATCATGGAGACATGCATACTGAAGAATCCTTGCAATTCTTCTAAAGTTCTCGCATCCAGGGTGAAGCTTAAGGCAAACTTAATTAATTTAAATTAATTAAAATTAAGTTAATCCATTTAGTTCTGTGGGGTTTTCAGTGTTCTCTGAGCTTACTTTTCCTCTTACAGGTGATTCATTATCAGACTAGGTAACATGTTAATGAAACATCTGCAAGAAAACAACTAAGCACAGACAACATCAAGAACCAAGCAAACTCTGAGATACATGTATTCTCTACTATTGCAACCATTTATTTTTGTCTGATGATGACTAACACTGCCAAATTTTTATCTCCTTGGATTTAATTTATGGGCTGTTTATGTATGAAAAGTGTTTCCAATTTTAAAGTATAGAAAATGGCCACAGCAGGCCTCTTATTCCTTCTCGCTGCATACCATTAGAATCCTCCACTGGCAAACTGGAAGAAGCCGATTTTCCAGAGATTTTTCCCTTTCCATCTAGACACACCTCAGTTCACAATCCACTAGAGATGTAATGCATCTGACCACACAAATGCACTGTGGGGATTCAATGGACTGAGAAATTTAAAGAAAAGAAATGCCTGTGACACTCATGATTCCCCTCAACACTTTTACGCCATCACATTTCCTTCACCCGGTCCCTCCCCAGACCCTCAGATCGAGGATCACAACAGCCTCCACCATAACTGTTAGCAGAGCCAGCCAGCACTCCATCCAGATGGCTGAGGAAGTGCTAAAATTGGCCTCCTGCCATTTCCTCATCCTCTGTCTTTGCATTGCCACCCTTGTTTTTGTGATGAAGCAAAAAAATAAAACATAATATGTCTGACTGCCCACCCCAAAACTTGGTATGAGGACACTCACCTTTCCAGCTAGTAGGATAGAAGAATGCCAAAACAACAACAACAACAACAACAACCCAGAAAACTTTTGGCAGGGAGGGCAGGGGGAGATTTGGGAAATCTGTCCTGCCTCCTAGGGAGCTCTAGTCTCTCAAATTTCAAAACAGTTTTCCCATTTAAATTTGGAAAGTCCAGCCAGAAGTAAATTGGTCTGGCTTTGAAGCAGAAATGCTAATGAGAAATCACAGGAGCCCTGGAAGTGTGTACGCATGTATGTGTGTGTGTGTGTGAGTGTGTATACATACATACATATACACTCATATCCCCCCACACACACACACATACATACCCATATGCATATACATACACTCCTGTTCTTGGAGGCAAAAATGGAGACTAAATAAGAAAGGACTGAGAGCCAATAGAGCGTAGTGGTTGAGATACTGGAGTATGACTAGACTACGCTGCAAGAATAGACCATTTTGCCCTAAGGGTTTTTTGTTGTTGTTGGTGGTGATGGTGGTGGGAATTAATAATATCCAAGGCTGTTTCTGGAATCTGGTTGGATATATATAAGCAAAGTATAAATGCTGATTTTACTGTTGTTGCTAATCTCCAGAATCCTGAAATGATTAACCTCATTTAACCCCGTGACTGCATGAAGTAACAGTCCAACCTGTTCTGTAGCCTCAACAATTTATTTTTCAGCAGGACCCAAAACTAAGGGCCTCTCTTTCTTTCTGCTGTGATGATTCAGCTTTTTGGCTGAGCAGCTACTCCCTGCTCCATTAGCAGGCACACTCTTCCTTTTAGGATCACATTCAAATTATAAGAACTGCTTACAGTGTACTTCCAAATCACTTACTTATGACAGTTAGTTGGAAATGGCTGCCAATTTGCATACTGGGTTTATTGTTATTTCCTACTGCTTTGAGAAGGAATAAATGACATAGAAAAACAAAGGTGAAGTAGACATGGAAGCGCAATAGTTCTCAAAAGTCTAATATAAAACAAATGATGAGAAAATATGAGAGTATGTGACCTCGGTGGCTGGTTCATCTTGTACATGTTGCAGGATGCTTGTACTATGATCCTGTAAATTTCATGCTGAAATAGGTTGTTAACTGTGTCTGAACAGTGACTGGTTTTGCTCAGTGGAATGTATTGATTATGAATCACAAAAGCATGCAATCATTGTTGCTTTCTTACACAAATGTTTAGCTAATTCCATCAGCCAGTCTCGGCATCTAGATATAGTAATAGTTGTCATACCAATACAGTGATCCAAGTAAGTTGGATATGGAACTGAATGTATATTTTGTCAGTAAATGCTACATAATTTTCATTGAAACATTGGATTCACTGTGAATTAATGTGAGTTTTGTGACCCAATACGTAATACCAGAAACTTCCTTCTACCTGACAATTCCCTTAGCTGGAGCAAGAAATCTGATCATAAAGTGGTTCTGTTGTCAATTGGACAGGATCAGGCTGGTTGCTTTGGAATAGACTAATATAGTTTCTATCTGTTGAATAGAATATTAGCACTAATATTAGCACCTCATTGGCAGGATATTACCATATAAACCAATCTGACACACCATTTAGCGCCATGACACTACCACCCTGGTTCACGTTTCTTGATTGGTTGGGACACATAGAGAACAAGAAGAAAAGCATTTAAAAATTGAGCAAACCTAAGAAGATTAGGCAAGGCAGGAGACAGGTAGGGAAAAGATACATTTAAAAACAGAAGCCCCTTTATGCTTTAAAAAAGTTCAAATATTTACCCCATTTTCTCAACCTGTTGATTTAAATGATTTAAAGGGATATTCTGACATTACTGTATCAATTAGGAAGAAGCTGGTTGAAAAGGGAACTCTAGAAGGATTTGATAGGTTGTCTCCTTCCCAGAAAAGCCACATGTGTCATTATTGGTTGGGAGGAATGTCGTTAATATTGTTAATATTCTAGTTTTCTGGAATATTAACAAGGAAGGATCTAGTCTATTTTGGAGGAGGGGGGAGGATGCTGTTTTAAAGAAGTGGGGCTGCTAATGAGAAGGCTGTTTTCTGGAATCCCTGCAGATGGCATTCTCTTAACCAAGGGATGGGAAGGGTGTCCACTCTTCCAGATCTCTTGCATGGGCAAAAACCAATGAGAATATGAAGTCCTCATGATTTCCAGGCTCCGAGCTTGTACTAGTAGTAGTTGTTGTTGTATAACTTTCCTGAAAAGTCTCAAGGGCTGACTTTTGCCCTTATCATCTCTCTGTTTGGAATGGCAGCAACATTTCAAAAGTGAACACTATCCAGGAGTGTGATATGCGTACATTTATAGCCTCCTCTTCATTTAGTCATTCACTGTTTTTCTCATAAAACAGAGGATAGAATGGATTCAGCTGAAAATGAAATTTGACTGTTAGGGGCAGCCAAATCCTCCTAAAGACATTCAGTAACCTACAATTTGTCTCTCCATTTTCAGATTCTTGATGAAGCTCTGAAGATCTGCAATTACATTTTCACAGTCATCTTTGTCATGGAATCAGTTTTCAAGCTCATTGCATTTGGGTTTCGTCGGTTCTTCCAAGATAGGTAATAATCATTCAGAATAACATTGCAAGGCTTTTTTCCCCCCCAAAAAAAGTCCCATTCCTAAAGTTTCCAGTTACAGTTCTTTGTGATGTCTAAATATGTGGATGTAGATGACTTGTTGGACCATTCTAAATGCTAATGCACTAATTAACAGAAAAATTAGTTGAAAACCTAAATAGTATCCTTTCCTTTGGCAGTTAAAAAAAGAGAAAACTTTCTGGAAAAATATGAGCACCCTTATAGTAATTTTCTGCCTTTTTAATTGTACCTCAAAGTCTTTCTAAAGTGGATCCTCATCATACTAGGATCATTCTTGATTTATATGTTAGAAACATTAATTTTATCTATCTATTTACCGTGTTTGGTAATAAACTGCTAATGACTTAATAAAGAATATGGAAATACATGGGCAAAACTCATTGAAAGATGACAGGTTTACTTCCCATTGAAACTAGCTGAGTTTAGCTGTGATCTGTAGTAGTGTTTCCAGCTCCTTACACTAATACTTCATCTCTGCTAATTCAGTTGAACTTATACCGAAGTATAAGAGAATGTGGATGCCTATCTTTCTTAATTTCTGCTTCCCTGTACCAAGGTGTAAGTGTTTTGCTAAATGCCTTATAGTAAAGTCATATAATAAGGCAGTTGTCCCTAAACTCATGTCTTTCAGATGTATTTTGCTCCAACACATCTGGAGGCAAAAGTCTATGGTTTGCAGCAACTGTACTATTAATGTGAACCAATCCTGTTCCCATCACACCTCTTTCTTCTATATCTTGGATCCTCACTGTAGTCCTCATAGGCCCCAGTGAAAATGCTGACTCCTCCCTTGTTGCCCACTAAACCTTATGCCTTTATTCCTTTATGTTTTTAAAATGAGTAATGAGCATGTGGCAATGTAAAATGCCAGCTTCAGACATAATCTTTATTTCCGAAAGTGCATTCATCCTGGAGGCATTCTTTTTAAAAAAAATTATAGGAGACTGCAGCTTGGTGTGCCTACCTATTCAGTAAAATGTCAACGGTAAGCTAGATACTATTTGCGGAGATTAGAAGGGATGATGAAGAGCAATCTCACCAAACGATGGTCATGTTTGTCATGGTAGCCATTTTGTGCTCATAACCTGGTCCCAAAAATTTAAATGTGCCCATCCACGCCAAATGGGGACCTTGGATCTTATTTGCCCATCAGCTGTTGGTGCCACTGTCATATCTCTTGAGATGTTCTGCAGTCCCAAATAATGCATTTAGGTGTAGAGTAGTAGCCACAAAGCAAAAGGTTCCACAGTATTAGTTATCTGGCATTATTTTAGTGAGCTGAATAAACTGTGAAGAACTCTCTCAGATACATGTGCACACATATACACACACATAGTGAGCATATGGAATAAACTCAGATCATATAGAATTAATATGATACCTCTACCTCAAGAGCATCTTGTTCTTCATTTGTACTTGAACCCCATCTTTGACATATAACCTTAAAAACCTTCCTTGCATTCTGTCCCACCATAGTGATTAAACATTAGGGCAAATCTTTTGAAAAAAGACTTTGGACAAACTAAGTTCAGTTAGAGCTTGAATAAAATATTTAGGGAAATGTAGCTTGAATAAAGCATTTAAAGAAAATTAAGTCAGTGTTATATTTTTATCCTTTCTGTTGCCCTGTAGATTAATTCATTTTTGCCTTCTCCATTCCAGGTTGTGGTATATTCAGATTTGACTAAATTTGTATTCTAATAATACATCTTTTGTTTAATTTGTTTCATCTCAAAAATTGCTAAAGGTGGAGTGTCAGTTCATGAACGCATGAATGCCCAAAATGATTGGAATTCCTTTGTCACATAACCCCCTCCTTTGCCAGAAAATAATTTAGCAGATTTTTCCATTTGATTTTTGTTTCACTTTCAGATGGAATCAATTAGACCTAGCGATAGTACTCTTGTCCATCATGGGGATCACACTGGAAGAGATTGAGGTGAATGCATCACTGCCCATCAACCCTACCATTATCCGCATTATGAGGGTCCTAAGGATTGCTCGAGGTCAGTCCCCCATTCTTTCTGGGGCTCTCCATCCATAAACCTTTTGACAAAATAGGAACTGATCATTCCTGGCATACTACAATCTTCCACATAGCATGTATACAAATACATCCACTGTGAGGCTAATGCTAATCTTGGTCTATTATTTTGCCTTATTAATCAAGTTAATAACTCCATTGTAGCTAACCCATTGTCTAGTAATAAATATTGTGTTGCATGGAAAAAGTATTATATTTGGTCGCTTGCATCCCCAGTACTGATTATGGGCTAGATGAATTAGTGGTTTCACTCAACAGAAGGAGCTTCCTCCATTTCTGTGCTCCTAAGATGTCACACAAAGTTCTCCCTTTCCCCCATTTTATGCACATAGTTAAGCTGAGACAACCTGACCAACCCAAGATCACTGAGCTTCATGGATAAGCAGGGATTTGTATCTGGGTCTCTCCAACCCTAGACTAGCATCCTTAGGTCTTCTCAAAAGCAGGTTTCTGTTACTGCTGTGAACACTTGGTTGGGTGTCAAACATTACAAATAGTAATGGATTAAAAGTGTTTGGTCCCAACTACGCTGATTAATTTCTGCCACTGTATTCCAGAGAAGAGAATTATACATGGTGTTATCTGCTCCAGGCAACAAAATATTAAAGGAGTTTATTATGGAACAAGTGGAGCTGGTGACATTAGGCTATAAAGTCCTTAGCTTGGAAGATTACAGGCTCGCTCTTGCTGTGCCCTAGATTTAGAATCAAAGAATACAACTTTGATTTCTTCCTCAGTCTTGGTACCATTTAAATCAGTGGGCATATACTTGGCTTCTTATTTCCTCAGATCAAAGGTGAATTCTCATAAACTGCAGATTAGATTAATTTCTGACCTTTGCAAGCTGGTCTGCTTTGCTCAGTAGCAGGAGTCACTGCCGGGTGGGGGGTGGGGGTGGGGAAGGTCCCTTTTGCATTCCTGCTGTAATGTTTGCATCACCTCAGTTAGTGAGTGAAAGAAATGGAACTTGATTCTTGGGACCTCTGGATAGATCATAGGTGCTATGTTCTGATAATAGATACCTCACTGAACAGCTTTCCAAGTATGGAGTTTGGGAATTGAAGTCCAACACATTTGAAGTGTTCTAGGCTGAAGACTCCATAAAACATTGCCTTGCATTTTAACTTTTAGTGGAGGATGTTAGGACACGATTCTTAGGGTATTTGTTGGGAATATTGAAATTTACATTTCCTTTCCATGCATCATTATAGTTGCAATGATATCATAAACCTTTCGTTTTCTGTAGTGTTAAAATTGCTGAAGATGGCTGTAGGGATGAGAGCTCTTCTGGATACAGTCATGCAGGCACTGCCTCAGGTAACCTTTGAATCTAATCATCCAGACTTCAGTTAAGTTTCCCTTGTTGTCTATTTATCTTGGGAAGTCAGAGAATTTTGTTCCTGTATTTGTGTCTTCTTGATGGCTAGAACTTTGTTTGTTGTGGATTGGCTGAAAGCACTTTTTTTTGGTTTTGCTTTGTTTTGTTTTGTTTTTTTTCCCCCCTCCTGGTGATTGGGTAACTTCAGTTAGAATTCCTTTTCCAATATGTCTTTCAGTATAATTTGCCTCCTGTTCAGTCTTGTTATCCATTTGCTAATCATCACAGCTTTGCTTCCTCCTATCTTGTTGGGGGCTTAGCCTTTTCAAGAAAATTGTGTCAAATATAAGCATTCATTTGTGCCCATACATACATACCCCAGAGTAAATCAGTAACTTGGTGCAATGAGAAAAATGAAGAGAGAGGGGGAAAAGCTAGGATTGTGCAAACTCAGAAACCATCTATCAGTTTAAAAACAATTAAAGAAAAAAAGAAAAATAAACAGCTTGCATTAATGAAGTAGAGGGGATGGGATGGAGGAGGAAAATAGCACTACATTTGTCCAACCATGAGCAAGAGGCATTGTGGGAAAGTTAGTGCCAATTTAAGAGAGATCCTTGAAATGACTCCAGTCTGGAAAGCTAATTAGTTAAGGTCTCATGACAACTGTATTTCTGAGTATGATTCACACAAATCAAATGGTATAAAATTGTTCTTGGTTTGGGATTTAAAAACTGGAATAGAAATGAAAATCTGAAAATGTAAGCACTCAACTACTTTTTTTTCCCCCTGAATGTTTTCTGATCTTCAGAGTGAAGACCAATTCCATGGCTCAGAAATGCTAATTTTCCAGACCCTGAACCGGTTTCCTTACCCTGGTTCCCTTTAGAAGTATTAATTCTCATAATTCCCAAGCAGCATGGCCATTTGGTGTCATGGTCCAATGCATCTGAAAAGCACCAGATGTAGAAGACAAGATTTCTTGTTAATGCTATATAATGGGCCAGGTGGTAGTTTCATGTTGTGTTTATGCACCATGCAGCAGCACAGCATCCCAAAGCTACAACTCTTGATGGAGCAGACATATGCTCATCTTTTAAACTTTCAAACCCTGTCCAATTTTTTTACTGGAGCAAGTTACCCAGCGGAGTAAGTAAACCACCTTACATTTAAAACTGGTTTGTTTATTCAGCTGGGCATTTGGGACCAGGAGAAGCTTTCAGAAACATTTCTCGTGATGCAAGTCCTTCTCTCATTTCCAACACTATGGACATCTAGATTTAAAGCACTTGTATTTGTTCATACACATAAGAAATCTTGGCGTTTAGACTAATGATCAGATGAGATTTGGTAAAGCTAAAGAAGAAAAAGGAAAGGAGACATATTCAGGGGCAGGAACTTGCAGACCTCCAAATATTGATGAATTAGAGTTCCCAGCATCTCTCACTGTTGGCCATATTTACTGACAAAATTAATTCAGCAGTATCCGGAGAGTGGCATGTTCACACCTTTGGGAGACTAATATAGCATGTACATTCCTCATTGTGAAAGTTACTTGGGTGATAGAACTTCAATGAGTATTTTTCCCCTCCATTTCTTATCTCTTTGCAGGTGGGGAATCTAGGTCTTCTCTTCATGTTGTTGTTTTTCATATTTGCAGCTCTTGGGGTGGAGCTGTTTGGGGATCTTGGTAAGTTCTCTGCACTGCCTGATCTATAGAATTGTTTGTGGTTGAATAAAGTTGTTTTTCCAAAAAAGAAAAAAAATCCTTTATGACTAAATTGTCTTTATTTTTTTATTGCTCATATAGAATGTGATGACACTCATCCCTGTGAGGGTTTAGGGAGGCATGCAACATTTCGCAACTTTGGAATGGCTTTCCTCACACTCTTCCGGGTATCCACAGGAGACAATTGGAATGGGATAATGAAGGTAAAATTGTCATCAGTATAAAAGCTGAATAGAAGAACATAACATACATTTTTAGGCTGTGAAAAGTTGAAACAATTACTGTTTTGAATATTTCCATGCTTTGAATTTTAAGTATAAGTTAGATACTGGAGCAGTATTCAGGGTATATATGTGAATTACAAATTATATACTTATCCAAATTGTTTCTTCTAATTTCTGCAACAGTAAGTGTTATTTCCCCTCCTGCTCCCCCCAATTCTTGATTAAGCTTTCCCTTTTTCTGCATTATTCATGGAATGACCATAGCCAATCAGGGATCACATTGTGACTGTGACATCATCAAGATCATGGATGGGCAACCCACAAAACCATGCAGCCCCTCACTGACATTTGCAGCTCTCAGAATCTTTTTGTAGTCTGCAATTGAGCTTTGGCAGCATAGCTTACAGGTAGTCCTCAGCTTACAACCATTCGTTTAACGATCGTTTGAAGTTACAACAGCACTGAGAAAAGTTACTTAGACCTATCACACTTATGACCATCACAGCATCCCCACGGTCACGTGACCAAAATTTGGGCACTTGGCAACCAGCATATATTTACGATAGTTTTAGTGTTCCAGGGTCACGTGATCACCTTTTGCAACCTTCCCAGCTGGCTTCCAACAAGCAAAATGAATAGGGAACCACGTGATTCACTTAACGACTGCTGCAACAAAGTTGTAAAATTGGGTGATGCCTTGCTTAACCACCATCCCGCTTAATGACAAATTTTCCAGTCCCTATTGTGGTTGTAAGTCGAGAATTACCTGTACTGTGAAAATCAGAGGTGAACCACCATTTTATACCTGTTTCTCTTTAATCCAAATTTATTGTCTTAAAGGAACACTTTCTTTTGTACTTTTAATTTTATGTTTAAATATTTTTTCCTGGAGTTTATTTGCTTGTTTGTTGGTTTGTTTTGAAACGTTTTAAACCACCTCAATTTTAAAAGACTCTATTTTATGCACATTGTTGTTTCGTACCCACCTGCTATTTTATTTTAGCTAAAGTACAAGTTTGTCACTTGGCCAGTAAAAAGTTGTCCAGCGCTAATCAAAATGGACAGACTTAATATGAGTAAAACCAGAGTAAAGGCAATTAGTTTCTGAGTTAGGTAAATGTTTTTAAACAATGTCAATGACCAAACGCAGCACATTATTGATGTTATTGGCATTTCCCAGGCCCTAATCACCCCTACAAATGCTCTGGTGGATTATGCCTATTCAGTTGGAATCATGAAATCATTTGATCTTAGCCAATGCAGAAAGCAGCCATTGTAAATGCACTGAATTATCTATCGGTTTCAGGATGCTATGCAGTTCTGAAACCCATAGATGCTTGTGTGCAGGTGGGTAGCCTTTTCAAAGATTTCATCTTGCATGTGAAACATAAGGCCTTTTGAGAAGACCCAGTATTCCAGTAGAAGGATCTTTCAGTTGTTAGTGGTCAAGTTCCTAAAATTCTATAGAAATTGAACAACCCTGGAGGACACTCATCTACCAACTTCCACGTGGGGTCTGACCTACTTCTACAAAAACCATATAGGCTTGAAGCTAGACTCTGAGTGGCATAAACTGCCAATTCCAATAAATAGTTGCCTGAAGCTCTCAGCCACAACCATTTCCACTCCACTTCCCTCTGTTCCCTCCCAGGACACATTGCGGGACTGCGACGAGGAATCCACCTGTTACAACACCGTCATCTCGCCTATCTACTTCGTCTCTTTTGTGCTGACAGCCCAGTTTGTCCTGGTGAATGTGGTGATTGCTGTCCTGATGAAGCACCTGGAGGAGAGTAACAAGGAAGCTAAAGAAGAAGCAGAACTGGAGCTGGAGCTGGAAATGGAAATGAAGACAATCACATCGGGTCAGCACCCACCTTCTGACTCTTTCATGTGGGCAGGCAGTAACACAGGAGAACGGCCAGAGAGTCCTGGAGGATACACCAACCCCATGCAAATCAAAGTGGATTCTCAGCTGTCAATGGTTCATCCTATGGTGAGAATTTCAGGTGGTGGGTGAAGTGGGGAATAGCCTTCATTTGTCTCCAACAGCATATACACTCAAATCCAAGTTTGAGTGGTTCCAGTGATTTATCAGGGAGTTGTATTCCTTTTTCTCTGCAAAATTCCCAAGTATCTAGAATAAAAACCTTATGCAGCAAAAGTAGACCAGACAAATCAGATGCTCATGCAAAGTTATTAATAAATTATTAATAAGTTGCAAAGAGTGTTCTGCAGCCCCTTCTCCAACTAAATTATAAAGGAGGCCCTGAGATCTCAGACACAGCTTTCATTATTGACAGTACTGGAAGAAAAGACCATTGGGAGTTTTCTTGGTTTCTCCAAAGAGGCCTTTGCAGTAAATGCTAAAGGCTGCTCAGCGGAATCATGAATGTATATAGCATGTGAGATGTCAGGCACCTGTGTAGATGGAATGCCTGTTCACTGTCCCATCTATGTTTCTGGAATACAGTTTAATTATTCAAGTATGTGTCTGTTTTTGACCATTACAGAACAACATTCAGTTTCATTGTTTAAAACTTTCAGCCATTGTTCAAATTAGTGTAGCACCAACAGTCAGAGTTGGAAACATCCATGTCATCTGAGTGGGGGAACCTCCTATTTCATGTTTGGAAACTGCCTTCCTCCTCATTAATTGATCATAAATTCATTACCTACAGAAATATTGTCCATTGTAAACTGATGTAATGTTTTTATGCATTACTGAAATAGGTTGTTAACTGTGTCTGATAAAACCTAGTAGGCTAGAATTTCTAAAACTCTCCAAAACTGCCCATTCTTTTTCCCCTTATAAAACCTATCACAGAAGGAAATCTGTCTCTTCCACTTTATTTTTAAAAATGCTTTCTTTTGCAAATAATATTTGCCCCTTATTACTTTGCAAATTATATCTTGAAACTCTTGAGTGACATTCTGATAGTTAAAAATATTCTTTCTCCATTCCAATGTTCCTTTAATTAAAATCTCTGCATTCCAAGAAATGGTTGAGTACACGATGAAAGAGGAATACAGCTCCTACAGTATAACCCTGCAAAATCATGTGATCAGCATGCTTCTTTGCTTGCCCGTCCCATAAAATATATGCACTGTGGCATTAAATTATAGCTGTGGGAATTCATGGCATCATACACATTGGCTGTTTCCTGCATAGAAAGTAGTACTGTTGCTAAGTTATTACTCCTCTTGTTACTTCAGAGGCTCTAGGCTGAATATTAATCATCAACATTTGAGACAACATTTCTGAGATCGGGAACCGGGCAATGGAAATGGAGAGTCGCATTTTTTCACGGATTCTTGGGCTTTCAGAATCCTGTGTGCACTACAGGCACAACATCCTAAGGTTTCCGTCCTGAACTATTAGAAAGTAAATCTCACTGGATTTAGAGCAAGCATGCATAGGATGATAACTCTTAATTATGAACTCTTAATTATTTCTCTAACCTCAAATTAAATAATTGTCATTGAAGGAACGGGAACTCACCCATGCTGTACGTACTTTAAACAGAGCATTTGGATTTCATAAGGCAACATCAAGTAGAGCAACGTAAAACTCTACCATTTGAGAGACTTATTAAAAGTTCTGATTGTAGTATGTTCTTTGTGGAAGGGACTGCCCTGAAACTGTTCAGAGTACAGCCGTTGTTTTTATACCATCTTAATTATGAGACACATAAAGGTAATCTTAAGATTGATTTCAGATAGTATATCCACTTCTACAAAACAATGGTGAAGCATTCTGTGATAGTCCTTATTCAAACCTTCCACGGGTAGTCGAATTGAAGTTCCCATTAGCCTTCTTTGTACTAATATGTGACTATGGGAAGTAGGACTCTACCCGCTGAAATATATCACAATACTTCCAAACAGTTTTTCTTCCTCTTGAAAAAGATCACCCAGTGAAATGTAGTTCTGAGGATCAGTACTAATATTCCCCATGTTCATGTGTAGCCACATTTGCATTTTCTCTTTCTAGAATTCCCTCCCACCGCCATCTAGACTAGAGTCATACAGACTCCTCCATCTCTTGTTTTTCTCAGCATTCCTCCCATACAACAGTTTCCTACACAAGGTGATTCATGTGGCTGCGTTCTGAGCAGGAGGTCCCATTCCTGGTGACTTTTTAGGTCTTTATTTGAAAATTCCTGCCACGGTCACAGTTCCTGGTCTAGTGTTGAACTCCAAATGCTTTGGAATTACAGTACCAGATGAGATGAAAAGAAAAGCCTATACAGAGATCTTGTAAAATACCCTTCCCTTGAAGCTAAAAGGGCAGAAATTGCCACCAGATAGGAAAATATCAGCGTAATTTAGATTTTTCAAACCAGCTTGGTGTCTATTTTTGCATCTCGCATTACTCAAGTATCAGCCAGAATCAGGTAAGTATTGCCCACCTCTATGTCTGGGAATGGGATTAAGAGCAGGATGACCATTTCACTGGCCATATGAGATTTACTTGCCAGTATTTCAAGATAATTATTCCTGGCTCAAGCAGAACATGTTTCACTGCTGTAACAACTGAGTGCTTATTTTCCAAGGACTGAGAGGAAGCATTTACATACCTGCACCAGCAGATAGTGGTTGTGGCAAACCAGTGTTTGTTCAGTCTCTTCCTGTTTTTGAAAAGTTTGCCTTGCGTTCATTTTTTGGAGGCTAAGTCAGAGGTCTGACTTTTAGAGATTGAGAGCACTTAAGTCACAGACATGGCAAGCCACCAGCACCTCTGAAAATCACGTTATTCTCAAGTGGTTACGGCGATGCTATTGCGTGATGCCAATGCTTCATGCTGGCTTCCATTCCCACCTCCATTAAAAATTGTGCACATTGTTGTTTATTTCTGCTGCAATTGTTCCTTGTCATGTTGGTATGATGGCCCAGCAAAAAAGCCATACTTTTGTCAATTAGTAAATAACTGCCAGTCACTGCTCTGGATGAATGTACTGTGTCCCACTGGCCTTACAATGTGTTTAGTTTCAGTCTTGTGTGTAGCAATGTCTTAGAAAAGTTCTGACTGTGGTATTACTGCACTGTTCTTTTTCCCCTTTCTGTCTCTGTCTTCTCTTCCTGGCCATTTCAACAACTACTGTTCTGTCTGAAAACATTTTTTTCTGTCTCTCTCTTCTTTCTTCTTCTGTCTCCTACATGTTCTCTCTCTCTCCCCAACCCTCCTTTTCTCTTGCCCCCCATCCCTCTCTCTTTGGCCTGGCTTATTCTTCTGCATGCTATTTGGCACTCCTCCTAGGAAAGACACTTGTTTGATACCATATCACTGCTGATCCAGGAATCTCTGGAAGGAGAGTTGCAGCTGATGGACAACTTGTCAGGCTCTGTATGCCATCATTATGCCCTTCCAACTACTGACACTTACAACCCTGAGAAACAGGTTAATATTATTAATTTCCAAAAGGGGTTCTTATTTGATATAAAGTAGGCTTAGCTAAGACTGCAATCCATTATGCATGCACCTGTAAGTTTCTCCCATTAAACTTAGCATTGCTTACTTCTGAATAAACCTTCTGAGGATTGCACTGTCAAATAAAACTGTGGGCAAATGGATTTCTTTTTGTTGAAAATGGGTATTAGTTTTAACCCAATCTTATTAGTGTTTAGTCAGAAGCCCTGCTGAATTCAGTAGGATTTAATTCCATTACTATGTATACAAGGGTAACCATAACTAAATTCAAGCCAAGGATTAGTAAATGAAAAGCCATGCTGAAGCTTTCTTTCTGCATGTCTGGGATCTTTTATTCTATGCAAAAAAAAAAAAAAAAAGTGCCAGGCATGGCTTTTTCTCTCCTTTTGCAGGGGGCAAAACAGTTTCTGAAAAACAGTACAAAAAGGGGAGATGATATCTTACTTTGGAGAGGTAGATCCTTAAATTTAATTTCAGTAATTTAAAAAAATTCATGTACATATAGGACCAGTGAGTTCTCCACATTTGCAACATCTTTAGAAAATGAACATTTGACAAAGCTACAGAATTTAAACTTATAGACAGATCCTTATTCCCCCCCCCCCAAACTAGGAAAGGAATCCCACATATACCTCTAAAATAATCGATTTGTTCTCCTTTAAATTTTCCCTCCCATCTTCATGAACATGGCAATTTAAAGGGGAGAAACCAGTGCTACCATACAGTATCTGGAAGTTGTAATCCTATGAAGATCAATTCCTGCAAAATAAACTAGTATAGAATTGAACTGGACAGCTTCTCTGTAACTGTAGAGATAAGATGTTGATCTTTCAATTCATCTACATGGAAGCCTATGTTGAAAGTTGTGGGCTATGTTACATGTCAACAAATGAAGAATTGGCCTGCTTGTAACTAGAGATCAAGATAAGTGGGGATGGCCAAGAAAATGTACAGAGATTCTTGTCACTTTGTTCAGTACATTCATTGGGCTAAAAAGGTTGATATAACATTTTGGGGAATTCAATATTTAATTTCTGTATCAAAAGGAAGCTATTTTTTCTCTTTTCTTTTTTTTTTCTAATCCAATTCTGGTTGAGCTAAAATAATCTAACTACAGTAAAGCAATAACTTCATATTAAAATGCAGAGGAGCAAACAAATCCAAAATACATAGAGGCTATGTGTTACTTAGGCCTACTGAGATTTTATAAAATTGTTGTAAGCTTTGCTTCTCCATCTACAAGCTTTGGGAGAGCCTTTGTAGCAATGTATTCATCAGAATCTGGTAAGATTCAATGTCCATGTCCAAAGGCTTCCTAGTGGTCCATCTGTAACCTTTTCCCCATTGTTTTTCCCACTAACCCAGTTTTGTGATTAAAGTTTTTGAAACTCAAACATTTGCAACAATTCTGTACAAGCCCAGTTGTCCTAACAAGCATAGTATTTTTTAAAAAAAACATTCTTAACTTATATACTCATTTATATCTGCTATGCTATGTAAGACCACCGATGAAGTTTCTCTCTGGAGCAGGGGCAGGCATATGATTCTTGAATTCCTTTCTTGTAGCCCTTAGAACTCCCTTTGATCATAATGGTTGAAAACTGATGGTACAGTTCCCAATCATTTTGAAATTAGAAAACATGACCACTAAAACCCTAAAATAGAAATGTCACATTTAAATGCCAGCCCTCTCCCACAACCACTCCCCAAAATTTAGTCTTTCTCAGATGGATCTATCTGCTTTGAGACCCTTGGTAGATCAAAAATGTAAAGTGCAGCCCTTGACCACAAAAAGGTGGCCCATCTCTGATTTATAACCTGGGTTCCTGGCATTCAGGCCATGCAATTACCAGGCATTTGAGTTAAGAACAACTCTTTAATGTGTCAAGGGACCACATGGAATCTTGAATGGGTAAGTACATTGTGTATCCCCAGAATTTCTTATTTAATTGATCCGCAGAAAACTGAAATTACATTTATGAATCTAAATGTGTGGGAGCTTAGATGAAAGTAATAAAGGCTGCATCTTATTTAAATATCAAGCAAGAGGTCATTATTAACCAATACTGAAATGTTTCAACTACCAGAGTTTTTCCTCTTCAAAAGCTCTTTACTGTATTGTTGTAATATATGTAAAATGTAGCCAATTTATTGATGTAAAGTTAAAAGCCAGATAGTTCATTCATTAAAAGGTCTTATTTAACTAGTATAGGTTTTAAATATGTACAGACATTTGCACTGCAGCTTTGTGGGTAAAATTGAAATACAGTTGTATTAAATATCTGCCATATTTTCTCCATTTTCTGGAATTTAGTTTGGGGACAGTCCCCAGCCTGAATGATGTGACAATCAGCCTGTGGGTGACATGATTTTACTTCTGTCATCCCATGTTGAGTTCCAGCAATGTTGCTCTTAAATGTCCTAGCTGCATTCATGCTGACCACCACTCCTTGGGGCCTCTGTGAACTGGCACTTGACAATAGCATGCAACAGCTTCATAAGTCTCCAGAGGCCTGCAGTCAATTGCTAACCGTGAACTTCCCCTTGCTTCAGCACAGGGTAATCAACCGCTATCACCAGCAGTTCCACTTATTGCTACAGTCTGGCTAACGTTAGCAAAGGTTGGATGAAAACCTGCTGGGATTTAGTATGTGCCTATTGAAAGTAAAATCTTTCTAGTGAAACGTGGATGATTTATCCTGGATATTGCTATGACATCCACCCCATACATTGGGGTGATTGGAATCATATTTTTTCATTTCCCTTGTGGTAGTTAGCAATGTAAATTCCTGTGATTGCAATTAGGAACGAATCCCCCCATAACTAGGAAGATGTTGTGTTAGGATGCTGCATATGGATAAGGATCATGCTCACTTCATGTGCAATTAGGAGTGGCATGTAATCTTTTCGTGTTGGGCTAATACAGCTGCTGTGGGAAGGTTTGGTCCACGTGCCCTTGTTACAATATTGTCCATACAAAAAAAATCATGATTCATTCCTCCTATTGATTCTTATAAAGGGGCACAAATTTTCAGAATAAAGCATAAATATTCACTTGATTTCCTTCCTGTTTAATTAATGTTTCTTCTGCACCATGCCTTATTCCCTTGCAATGCTGTTAATAAGAAGAAAGGAAACGACCCTTTTTAGATTTTTTTTTTAGATTTTTTATCCTGCCTTTACTATTTTTTATAAATAACTCAAGGCAGTGAACATACCTAACACTTCTTCCTCCTCCTATTTTCCCCACAACAACAACCCTTTCAGGTGAGTTGGGCTGAGAGAGAGAGAGGGACTGGCCCAAAGTCACCCAGCCGGCTCCCGTGCCTAAGGTGGGACTAGAACTCCCCATCTCCTGCTTCTAGCCTGGAGCCTTCACCGCTAGAATTCACTTCCCTTTCAATGCCTAGTGGCATCCAATTGGCCAAGATTCTTATCCTCTTGTTCGTGAAAGCAATAAAATAATAGTGACCATGAATCTTCTGTTGGTGCCCGCAATCAGAATAATTAGCAGTCTGTTGCATGATGCAGCAACAGTTACCAGAGGTTGAAATGGTCAATCTGGGGAGAAGTGTCACAGCTGCTCAGAGTGAACCCACTACAGCATCTCCTCAAGAAAATACACGAGCAGCGAGTGGCATCAGGATACCATGATACCGCCTTCCATGTATGAGCTATCAGCTGAGAAATATATTTATCTTATTAATATCATTACTCCTGCAAGGAGATTTAGTTTGCTTAATCAAACATCAATATGGCAGTAAGATTCCCTAGTAGCTCTGTGCAGTGATTAAAGATACCTTAGCATATTAATTATGGTTTGATTGATCACCGAATTAAATTTGCAGATGGATAAGGATAATACTCCTGAAGCAAGTCTTAGATTTTCTCTTAAATGATGCATACAGGTATCCTAAAAGGTATAATCACAGAAGAGTACTTCCTTTCTAGGTGAGAGAGAAAAGCTTTTTATCAACTCCAACTATTGAAATCAGCTAGCAAATTAATCGTTTAAACATCACTACCTTAGTTAACATTAGTTAAGGTTTCTTATTAGATGCCTTTTCCAAATTTATCAGCTCACTAAATAGCAGAAAATTATAAAATTTCTTGGCCCTTAGGATAAGGCACATTTATAAGTACAGTGCAGCAATTTACAACTCAGGGGAATCTGTATGATCCCAGCTCCATTTTTCTGTGCCAGGAGATTGGCCTGTACTGTAGAGAAAAGATACTTGGAGCAGCCCAAGGATGATTGCTCTGAAATACACTAATCCAGTCCACTTTCTTTCTTATCACCTGAAGTAGCAACTACTAATGTCAGTCTGGAAACTTCATTTCCAGGAATAATTTAAGATAGCTACTTTCCATGGACCAGAGAGGAGTTGAGAGGAATTCTTCAAGATACCTATTGTATTGTCCATTTCCAGAATGTCTGTCCTAAGTGACAGTAAGGAATTACTGTCTTGATTTTTATTTATGGTAGCATGAAAATCTGTCTTGTCAAAGTTGATTGTAGTATTTGGTTCTCAGTCTTAGGTCCATTCACTACCAAATCAGAATTTGTAGGAAACTCTTATAAAGTGTACAGTAGTATATTTGAGTTGACAATTCTACTCTTAGATTCCAAGTCCTCCTTATAGCAGTTACCACTGAGTGAAACTTAGCAACCTTCTTATATATTTCAGGAAGATGGTTCATTTACCGGAAATAAACATTTTCCTCTGTCCAGTGAACCCAGTCAGCCTGTTAACAGCTGCATTAATGTAGAGGTCCAAGACTGATACCTGGAACAATACAAGACATGTAGAATTCATACTATTGATTCTTTCAAAAAGGGATAGAAACAGTTTTGCAGAAGAATGTTATTCTACCTGCAGTCCAGAATCATGGATGACATAGCATTAAGTCTAGCTCGTGAAAAAAGTTATTGTATATGGAACAGACAAAATATTATAAAGCAATTAACTAGCTTAAACAGTCTCCTGCACAGACTGTCCTTATTATAGTATGGTGCTAGAATTCTGTGCCTCTGTAGATTACAATGGTGCACAGAGCTTATTTCTAATGTCATTTTGCTGTATCTTTGTTGAATAAAAAAAATTGAAGTGAAAAGCCACAGTAAATTAAATCTATATTTTTCCAAGGGGAAATGAACTTGCCCATAAGAATGAAGGGTGCAAG